GCAGGAGGACCTGCCACACCCTGTCCACTGTGACAGCTGCCAGGGACACACACCTGGCCTCTAGGCAGCAGACGCAGGAGGACCTGCCACACCCTGTCCACTGTGACAGCTGCCAGGGACACACACCTGGCCTCTAGGCAGCAGACGCAGGAGGACCTGCCACACCCTGTCCACTGTGACAGCTGCCGGGGACTCACACCTGGCCTCTAGGCTGCAGATGCAGGAGGACCTGCCACACGCTGTCCACTGTGACAGCTGCTAGGGACTCATCTGGTCTCCAGGCTGCAGATGCAGGAGGACCTGCTGCAGGGGATGAGGGGCAGGCACAGAAGCAGTCAGGGCACCTCTCCCTGTGGCTGGGGGTGACCTTGGGGCTACACTAGGAGATGACGGAAGTTTCCCCCGAACCTCAGGGCTGAGAGTCCTGTGACTATGATCGGAGCTGTGCTTGCAGATTCCACGTGCTGCAGAGAGCCAGGACCTGAGTGCCCTGGGAATCCCATCCACTCCAGCGGAGAGCATGCTCTTCCTTTCATTTAGCCATAGATGTCTATCTCCACCCCCTTAGGTAAAGTCCCAGAGATAACCCCACCACAGGCACTAGACAATGCAGAAATAAGTTCCTGGGACAGGAAGGAGAGGACAGAACTCAGTTTTGCAGGATCTCTGCAGAGCCCAAGAGAAGAGCCCCGTCTGAAAATCCCTGTGGTTGTTCCAGATGCCAGGACTTTCCTCACACCCGGAGAGGCTGGATCAGGTGGGGAGGCCTGACCTGGAAATGCCTCCTTGCCATGCCCTGGGAGATTATTCAGTTATTCCTGAATAAGAGGCTTAAGAACAGACTTCGTGTTTGAACTCTCCTACCGTGCCCTAATCCTGTGCTCCCTCCTGGCTGGCAGTGCCATGGCTGTGACACAGACTGCCCATGCCCGGTGATACCTATCTGCTGCAAAACCCAGGGACACCAGTGGCAGATGGCCCAGCCGACTCAGCATGCTGAAACGACACCCACAGGGCTCCAGGGTCGTCCCATGCGGGCTGCTGTGGCACAGTTGCCTGGGAATAAAGAGCAATCCCCAGAAGGGCCGGGCAAGGTCGTGCCACCATGGAGTCCCGGAGTGGGGACAGTGGCCCCAAGCAACTCACCTGTGTTCTGAGGTCTGTGATGGTCTTCTGCATTTCCAGAACAAACTCTCTGAAGTCACTTGTCCCGGGTGCGTCTGAGCGCGCGCTGAACGCTGAGGTGCTGTTGCTGAGATGCTCCCCGCGTCTCCTGACACTGTCGCGAGGGGAAAGGAGGAGGAGGGAGATACCATCTCGGCAGGTCCCGCCAGGTCCCATTTCCAGGTTTCCTGGGTGTGCGCCTCCCCTGAGGCACTGAGCAGGCAGCACAGCAGGATGCAGCCTGTAGCCCGGCCCCCAGCACCCCAGGGCAGCCCGGCCCCCAGCACCCCAGGGTGTCCGTGCCAGGACCCATCCTCGCCACAGGCCCACAGCAGGAGGCTGGTCCTACCGCCCGATGCCCGTGGCGCGAGAGCTCCTCTGCACAGTTTCCTCGGACGTCGCCATACCTGGGCATTCTCCGTGATCTTGTTTTCTTGATTGGCTTGTCTTCCCGGTAGCTGAACTCAAGAGACCGCCTGCCTCGGAAGTGGTACGAGAAGGCATTGAACTGGCCCCTGGTCCTGCAGTCTAAAACGGACGCACGAAGGAGAACATCAGCTCTGCGGGCAGCACCTCCCGCCAACCATGAACCCTCTTCACTGGCCGCCCCTGGAGCCCACTGCAGTGCCACTAAGTCAGGCAACCTGGCAGCTGTCCGTGGTGCTAATCTTCTCCTGGTCTGCAGGGCCGAGCCTGTCTCCACCTGTGCCCCAGTCCTAGTGACCTCGTGGCGCCAGCTGCCCTTAGGAGGCCCATGCTACCCACCACGCCATCCACCCACACCCTCGCTGAGTTCCCTCTACCCACAGATGGAGCCTCAGGCACTCGGCCTCAGAGATCAGAGTCCGCCATGTCTGGGCATCCCTCCCCCATGGCCAGGTGACCATCTACACCCTGGGGTGCCTTAAAATTAAAATACACCACCCAGATCACACTCTCAGCCCCACTGTCAGACAGGAGGCGGGCCTGGCCCTGAGTGTAGCCCAGACACCTCCCTGCCTGGATGTGGCTTCTCACCCTTGGTGGAGTAAGAGTCCACCCGAGTCCCGGGTGAGTGTGGAACCCTCAGTGCTGTGCCCACCCCAGTCCTGGGTGAGTGTGGAACCCTCAGTGCTGTGCCCACCTGAGTCCCGGGTGAGTGTGGAACCCTCAGTGCTGTGCCCACCCCAGTCCCGGGTGAGTGTGGAACCCTCAGTGCTGTGCCCACCCGAGTCCCGGGTGAGTGTGGAACCCTCAGTGCTGTGCCCACCCCAGTCCCGGGTGAGTGTGGAACCCTCAGTGCTGTGCCCACCTGAGTCCCGGGTGAGTCCCTCAGTGCTATGTCCCTGGGCCCTGAGGACACACTGTCTAACAAAGTGATGGGGTGTTTATTCTGTCTTGTGCATCATCCTCACCCAAAAAGCTGTGGCAGAGAACGAAAGTGAAGGGCAAGTATCGACCTTTCCAAAATGCTAATGTCTAAGGCCACTGGTGTAGAAATTCTACAAGGAGAGGAGGCATGAGCAACATCAACCTCAGACACCATGCTGGCCTTCCTGTCTCCCCGGAGGGCGGCCGGCTCCTTCTGGTCTCACATTTGCCTGACTGGCTGGAAAGAGGCAGGGACTGTCTTCAAGACAGAGACCTCAACACCCCCCTCCCCCCACAGCAGAGCCCATAAACAATCACACGGAACGACCTGTTGTTCACTTCTGCAGTTAACTAGATAGCTTCTGAGTAAACCCAGATGGCTGGAGCCCTCGCTTATTGCAGCCACCCATTGTCTCAAGAGCAGAGAAGAGCAGAGTTTCTTACCATGGCTCCAGGTCACACAAATACATCCTAAAACAGCAGCTTCTGCCCAGACTACCACAGCTCCCCCAGCAACACTCCGGGGACAAGAATGAGCCTCACTAGCGGGCCCACCCCAGCAGAATCACAGGGCGACAGGGAAGCAGCAGGGCCGGGACACCATCCCAGGCACTGTGGGGTTCCTGCCGAAGCACAAACCGGCCCTAACCCCAGAAATCTTGGGTGTCGGGACCTCCGTCCCCCCAGGGCGGCCGTCTCTTCCTCATGCCCTAGGGCGTGGCTGGGCCACACCTGCTCAGCCTCAGCAGCCTGGCCTGCCCCTGCTCTGCGCTGCCCAGGCTGGCCAGGCCAGGAGCAGGCTGGCATCCCAGACCCGGTGCAGACCCCACACAGCACTTGGTGTGAGCATCAGTGACACGGGTGATGAAGACGTGTGACTCAAGGATGTTTGATTCAAATGTGTCTTTTTATTTTTTATTTATTTTTTTGAGATGGAGTTTCACTCTTGTTGCCCAGGCTGGGGTGCAGTGGAGTGATCTCGGCTCACTGCAACCTCTGCCTCCTGGGTTCAAGCGATTTTCCTGCCTCAACTTCCCAAGTAGCTGGGATTCCAGGCATCTGCCACCATGCCAGGCTAGCTTTTGTGTTTTTAGTAGAGACAGGGTTTCACCATGTTGGCCAGCTAGTCTCGAACTCCTGACCTCAGGTAATCTGCCCACTTCGGCCTCCCAGAGTTCTGGGATTACAGGCGTGAGCCACTGCGCCCAGCCTGGAATGTGTCTTTTTTAAAAGTCAAATTAGCAATTGGCATTTAGTTCTGTCAAATCTGAGTTCTGTTTTCGTTTTTTCTGCTGTATTTAGATGTGACTTTTGGGCTAAAATAAAAACAGGTAAAGCTCATCAAGCTTTCTCTAGGCCGTGTCAGCTTAAGGCCATGCCTGCTATTTTAAGAGGGAAAAGTGTCCAGAATAAACAATGTCAGCAACTGCTTCAAGCAGCGAAGCCTCTCCCCCAGTGCCTGAGAGGAGGAAGAGGTTCGTAACACCAGGAGAACAAAGACTGGCTTCAAAGACGGAGTCTTTCAAAGGACTCTGGACTTTCTCAGCAAAATTACAGAAAACCTGGCTGTACTTAAAAGCAGCTAACAGGAGCCTGGTAAAGTTATCAGAAAACATGTTTTTGTATCATTGGCTTTTCCTAATCATTTTCAAGAGAACAATTTTCTATAGACAGAATGAATTTTCTACTATGTTTGTAGAAAAGCCCTTTGAATTGGATAAACCAGTGAGAAAGAATATAAAACAAACAAAAAAAACAATAAAATAAAAACAGATATAAGTTTCCAACAGATGTAACAACAAGCATGTACGTTATTTGGAAAATTGGGTTTGTAGCAAGCATAATTTAATTTTTATGTGACTTCTCCTATGTATATACCTCCACGCATGTGTCTGTGGGTGGGGAAGGCAGATGAGGAGGCAGACGCAGGATTAGATCACACCCCCCACACTCCCCCCCCCCCCCCCCCCCCCCCCCCTCCCACACACTCCCCCCACACACACACGCCCCCACACACACACCTCACAGGCGCACACCCCCTCCCCCACACACCCCACAGTTGCACACAGACACAGGCACACACTTCCTTAGAAGAAGCTGCTAAAACACAGGTCTATTATCTGCAAATTTCACTGCATACTAAATTAAGTAAGATCTTGGCCAGAACTATTTCTTGAGGAGAAATGAGGTGGAGGAGAATGTGTACAGTGTCTGGGCTTGTGTGTCTCTTCTTAAACTACCAAGCGCCCACAGACACCACAAGCTCCACAGAGTGCCAGGCGAGGCTGGGGTCTGGCCCTGCCTCCCCCTCCCAGTCACGCCAGGCTCACTGCAGGTCCCCAGATCACCCCATCACGGTGGGCCCGCTTCCCTCACCACAAGAGTGAGTGCTACACAACTTGGGTTCTAAACATCCCCAGTCTGGGTATTTGATGGGTTTCTGATCACAGTTTGAATAAAGCCAAAATTATGTTCAAATTAGTAATGGAAATGGAGGTTAACCAAGACTGGGAGTTAGGAATGCGAAGCAGGAATTCAGCCAGAGGAACCAGCGCCATAAGCAGCAGGCCACTGACGCCTCTGCGGGGAAGAGGGACCCGGTGCGCC